TTAAGGTTGCATCATCTTGTTGATAGTGCTGAAGCCCCAGCAGAAGATTATTTCAGTATGATGTCACTTATGTATTTTTATGCGCAGTAATTATATATATAAAACTATATATATATATATATATATATATATATATATATATATATATATATATATATATATATATATATAATGGCATCATTTTTTACATTTAACACTCCAGACAAGATAATTAGTTTTTACAGCTTTTTTTAATTTTGCGGGTTTTATAGGGTCATTTCTCCAAGTTTTCCCCACAAAATATTATTCATTTTTATAACAAGTATATATATGCAAAAGAATGATATAAAATATTTCTTTGGGTGCATTCATAGAGGTTCACTTTAACAAGGCATAGGGTGGAAAGGGTATTCAGTTGTAACTTTAATGGTTTTAAAAAATTGAAGCAGTATTGCTTACTAAAGTACTTATGTACCATCAAACTGTCCAAAAATATTTTATGTAGCGTTCAAAAATCAGCCATTATGAGAAATTTTTATTTATTTGTTTTATTACTTTATAGGTTTATTAATTATCCGTGTATTTATGTTTTTTTTTTTCTTATTAACTGTTTAATTTATTGAAAAAAAAAATAAGTTAAAAATTCGAAAATTGTTGTCTCCAGCATTGATAAGAAAATCGAATATTCAAGCTTAGCTTAATTTTAATGCACTAAAAACTTAAAAAACTCGATCAAATCATCCTTGACGTCACAAACTTTTGAATTCCAACCCCCCTATAAGCGTAACGCATTTTGCAATTTATTGCAAATTATTAAATTTAGGATAGTTGGTTCGCTAAAATTCATAGGGTTCACGGCAGTTTTATAAATCCATTTTCCCAGAGTTTTCCCTGATTATTCCCTGATTTTCACCCAATTTCAAGTAATTTTCCCCTGATTTTGGTGGTAAAAAGTATATAATTTTCCTTGTTAATGTTGAAGGATATAATACCTTCACAACTGAATCCATGTTTTCTTAATATTTTTATCAGAATTTTTTAAACCTTTTTCCTTTTTTTATTCTTATATTAGTAACATAAAAAAAATTTTTAAAAGATTTTTTGAACAAAGTAATGTTTTAACAAAATATAAACTTTATATAAGATCTATTCTAAATAAAGTTATTTTAGTATCTTTCTCATTTGATCTAAGATTTTATTAGTGTCTGTTATTGAATTCAGGTACATTCTATATCTTTCATGGGCTGATTTTACATTGATTATCATTTTGTTTGTAATTTTGTTTGTAATTATGTGACTGAAGATTATTTGATAGCATATGATCTTTAGCTAAACGTCATGCAGTTATTGATTTTTCATTCCAATTTTTTTACTTTTATTTGAGTACTGCGACATTTATACTAAAACCTCTCTCAACTGAAGCTTATCCATAACTCAGTGTTAAAAGTATTTTGACAATTAATGCCAAATTTATTTAGATTGCACTTTTTAAAATAGAAGCCGTCTAAACTATCACTATCTCTTTTGAATTCGTGAAAATTGTTTTGGTAAACCCTTGGTTCTCTAAAGAAATTTGTAAATTGATTTATAGCTTTATCAGGAAAGACTGGTGAAAGATATTTTAAGCTAATCAAGTGGGTCAATAAAGATTTGTACTCCTTTGTATTTTCTGGAGTCATTGTTATCAATCCATTAGGGTTAAAAGCCTGAGAATTGCATACAATGATAGACCCTAATGGAGTTCATTCCATCAAATTTTTAATTAGTCATACAAAGCAATCTTCTCGGAAACTTTGAATATTAGTAATTTTTCTTTTAGGTTTTTTCATTAAATTTGACATTAGCCCAAGTCATAGGTTCATTTCAATCATGGATAGATAATTTTGGCACAGTAATGTTAAAAAAAGGAACTAACTTGTAGTTAAAGAGCTTCGCTGTTAAACAATAGTGCTTTAAGTTTTGTGGATTTATTTTTATAACATATTAACAATGATAAAGATTGTTTCTGTTAACTTATTTATAGGTCCTTATCAATCCAAGTGGCTATAAAAATCACCTATCCTTGTGAGCTTTTCAATTTAATTTCTGGAAAAATAAATACTTATTAAATCTTTCTTTTTTAAAGAAGCTGATTTTGTTTCAGCTACAAACCCTAGTTTGATTTGATCACTCTTCAGTAGATAATCTTTTTTATGAAAACCAACTTCTGCTATAGACCAATTATCAATAACTTTGTGTTTCACAAACATGTTCAGTATGGTCCAGAACAGTCTTTCCACGTCACTATTCATGAATGGAATTATTGGCTTGTCAGTTTGGTACGCCAACAAATATGGCTCTACTATCCTGGCAACAAAACTTCAAATTTTGAAATTTGAAAATTTGAAAACTTCAAATTTTGTTTTTATTTTAAGGGTATTTTGTTGCGTCTGTTTCATAACCTTAACGCCAGACTGTTGTGAGGAGCTTTTAGTACACTTTCAGAATTTCTTTAATATTCCATGGTGTTGATTCGATAGCTGTTTTAGGTACTATGAATAACATGCGAGGAGCAACTTCCAATATTTATAAGCTGTGGCATCTTGTTGTTCTTTTTATGTTTATTTAGATCATCTAAAAATTTCAATTTTATAGGGTTCATGGAAACTTGAAACATTTTACTTGAACCAAATCTTGATAAGTATTCGTTAAAATAAGTAAGAAGGTCAGAAGCTGTAGAATGACTGAGAAAAGCTGACGTCCAATATCTTACTTTAACTTTGTTATTGACATCCCATTATCGAACGAGAAGGTCCATCTGTCATGTTTTAGTTATGTCCTTCAAACTCTCATCAAAAAGTACGATGTAACAATCTGATTTTGTGATTTCTTCTTGTAAGAGTGTCTTGAAGTATGGCGCCAGTCCATGGTTAACAATGTATGATATTTTTGAGGAACTCATGCTTAAATCTTCTGCTACCTTACTGTTAAGAAAGATCTTTTTATAAGAGTTGTTTAAATTTGCACATGAATTATTAGAATAGTAGAATTCTTATGCAGATTTCAGTGCTCAAATGATCTCAGAAATAGTTGATAAAGATGATTTAATTGAGAAATCAATAGTCGTTTGTTTTTTGGTGGAAAATGTTGTATTTTTTTCTTCACATCTAAGCGACTCAGCTCGCAACTCTTTTCCATTAACAAAGAAATAGCTAACAGGACTGTAGTAGATTGATGCTTTTTACCTTAACATTCTTAAAAATATGGCGTTGTAATCAATTTTCTTGAAAATAGGTCTTCTCTGAAGTCATATTTTATTATTATATTTAATTAAACATAAGGTTACTATATTTTATAAAAGTTATAAAACCACTGTAGTGAGTTACTTTCAAAAAATAAAAACTCTAAATTTGTATGTTACAAAATAGCTTCAAGTTATATATAAAACTAAAAACCATTCCCTGAGTTTTTAGGATTTTCAAAAAAATTTCTTTGACTTTTCTAGGTATTCCCTGATTTTTCACAATTTTAGAACTTTTCCCTGAGTGCCGTGTACCCTGCTTTACTGGTTACAGACAAGTTTTAAACATTGTTTCTATTACTGGACATCTTAGATTTAAACTTTACAATACTGTAAAACAACACACATTTTGTATAGACAGCCCGCAATTGCTTACACAACTTATCAGTTTCGCAAATTTCGTCGAAAATTTATAATTTTACGAATTAAGAGGTGTAAACTAATGTTAATCTAACTGTTAGAAAAAAAATCAGACCTTGGGAACAACTTAGTCTTGCGATTTGGCCCAGTGTTATATATGGTTATATAATCACATGTGCCATATGGTTTAATGTACATTTTAAAGCAATATTTAGCATTTTAACGCAAACTTTATTTATTTCTGTCAGAAGAGCATTTTAAGGCTAACTATTTACCATTTTAACGCAAACTTCATTTATTTCTGTTGGAAGAGCAGTCTTAAAATCATTTTTCTGTATTTCGAAGTACAGTAAAAATTACCTTCATTCTTTTTTTAAAGTAGAAGATATCTCAACTATTCTCCTCAGGAACAAAGTTAATCTTTTTATCAGGCTGCTGAAAAATCAAACTTGTGACTCACTGATAATTAATCAAATACAGGAAACACAGAATAAAAAATCCTTTACAAACGAAGTATTTGATGCATGCAACACACTTGATTTAAATTTCATACAGTGCATGTTAAATGGCAAAAATATTAAATTGACGCAACCCATCGTAGAGCTACAAACTAATGTTATGCTAATATTGAAAGAAACGTTCCAGTTTTGGAATTTGAAAGAAGAGAGAGGCGTTTAAAAGCTTGATGGAGGAGAATGTTCCTAGAACTCTGTCCCAATAGTATGTGGAAAACAAACCGGCTGTTTATAAGCATTTATTGCTAACAACTACAAGAGCCGTGTTGTTTTAGCTGATTTTTAATTTATTATTAGACTATTTAAAGATTATTTTACCTGTAATTTACTACCGGATGATAAAGAGAAAATATAATATAATTTTAATTCAAACAATATGCCAGCATAATCGCGACTTCAATTTCAATTTGTAAAATGTTAATTTTAGTTCCGTATTGCATGCGAGATCTAAAGTTGATTTCAAAATATGCTTCGAAGCTGACTTGCTAGAACACTGCGGCAATGTTTTGACACACGCGATTCTAAAGATTCAAGTTATTTATATAAAAGTAACCAGCGATGTTTTTTGCGATTATTTGTTTAATTAGGTATATTACCATATGATTTTGTCTAAGTAAGTACTGTCAACTAACATCTAAAGTTGTATATGGCGTGTCAAAACATCTCCAGCGAAAAATAATGGACGCTTAAGTTATACCCATATACACTAAGCCAGATAAGTAACAATAATACAGTGCACATATTTTAAGAATGTATTAAAACATTGTAAAAGGTTCATCTATGCACTCATAGTAATCTTTTTTTGGGCTAACAAATATTCAAAATATAACAACAATTAAAAAAAAAAAAATTAAAAACAAGCATCATATGGTTATACAAATCTATAATGCGGATAAATAATTAAGTCACTTCATAAAAATAACTTGTTGTGCTACGAACGGTTTTGATCAAGACTTTTAGCTTTCCACTATATAACTTTACAACACATCTGCAACCTCGTCAACTAATTGAAAGCTGCCATCAGGATTAGGAAGTAAATCATCATCGTCCTTGGTGAAATCGATTTCATCCTTCGCACCACGTCTCCCTCTAGCACGAGGGGAGCCTCGACCACGTCCACGACCTCCCCTCCGTGTTGTAGCACCTCCTTTTGGAGTAGAAGTGTTCTGAATGACAAAATTATTATGTAAACCTTAAAGAGAACGTAGAAAAATAAATACCGCAAGCATCGATCAGTAATCGTCTACCCAAAGAGGATCTTTTTGTTTCGGAACCTAAAAGCGGAAAAAGGAAATCCGGATATATCAAATAACATTTTTATAACTAAAGTTTCGACATAAAAGTAATTTAAGAATACAATCGGATTTCCTTGTTTCACTTTTACTGTTATAAAAAGAAGGTTACCTTCAAAATAGATTTCAAAGGACTTTCTTCTTCAACTTTTACTTCTTCTTTAGGTTTTATTTCCTCTACTACCTTTACTTCATCAACAACTGAAGTGTTTGACTCACTCGCAAGCTGACTATCATCTACAGAGTCTTTTAACTGGGCACTTTCTTTCTCATCGGTACTGGCGCTCTCGGTGGCTGTTTCTTCAACAACAGACTCTTGCTTTTCTGTTTCTTTCTCTGGCACTTCTTTTATTTCTTCTCCCTTTTCATCTTCGTTAGGTTTAACAGTTTTTTCTTTTTCTTCAACTTTAGGATTCATCAGTTTTGGAACTTGTATCTAAATTAACAATAAAAAATTACAAAGAAAAATAGAAAGAAAATTTAGGAAAAAAAATTACAAAGAAAAACTATTTAAAACATTAAATCATACACAACTAGGTTCCAATGCTAATAAGAAAGGACTTGATGAAACACCAGGGGTTTGTGAAAGTAAGACATTTTTATTTTCTTGTTCCGCCAATATTGCAGCAAGATCAGCATTCTGGTCTTTTTGTTGTTTTTCATAATTTGCATTTTTACGTATGTGAGCCTAAAATATATTCACACCTAAACTTTATTTTTTACTATTATTAATGTCAACTTAAGTTAATTATTATTCTTAGAAAATCTATATTAAACTTTATAACAATAAAATAGTAAATTTTTAACCTGATAGTTGTTCCTATGTTGTTTATCATTAATATGAGGAACAACTTTTGCAGCATCTTTAATGTAAGAATCGCACAGGCGACAATGAAAGCCAGAAACAGCTTTTACAAACTCACAGCCTGTGGGGAAAAAACTTAGTGTTTACACAAAAGCAAAAAGCTTCAATATTAAAAAATCTATTGAGTGGATAATAACAATTTGTAAAAAGATAATAAAATGGTTATGTCTACAAAATGAAAATATAAAACAACTTACCAAAAAATTTATCACCGACAAAATCTTTTATTTCCATTCTTGATTCAACAAGAGATGTTATGGTTACAACATTCTCATTCTTTACTGCTGTCTTTCTTGTCTCCATGCTTACAGTAAAGAAGTTAGCTGGATTACTATTGTAGTTAAGCCTTTCTTGCTGCTCTTTTTCTAAGTTTTGCTTCATGATTAATTTAGCCTGCATTAATAAAATACTTCTAACTTTTTCAGATTTCTCATACCAGTCATCAGGAGCTAAGTCAATATCGAGTAAATCTCTGGTTTCTTGATAAGTCTTGGCAGTTCGAGCTTCTATTACTTTCATGACATGTGATTTCCCCATGACATGGCTTGAAAAAGTCTATAAGCAGATTATATACTTTTTCTATTAAATCAATGCACAATAAATAATTCATGACAACAAAAAAAAAAAAAAAAAAAAAAAAATCTTAAATTATCTAATCACATATAAAAAATTATCTGCAGCATTTGAAAGATTTGTCAACAGTACCTTTAATGTTAAATAAAAATGTTGTATTTTTAATATTTGCAATATTCACATTTTAAAAAAACAATTTAACAAAATTTAGGTGATTTACTGTATTTACTTAGCTAATAAATAAACTAAACGCTTTAAGAAGAGAAAAATATAGAAATATTGGAATCATTCTGTTGATCATTTTCATTGCTTTTTTAAAAAATTAAAAAATTTTAGTCACACTAACAGTATAGAATTTATTTAAATTTTTGGTTTATAATAAAATATGTACGATTTTAATAAAATGTTAAAATAAGTAATAAACAACGAGTTCCCTTTTAGGGATTTTTATTGATTTACATTAAATTAATTAGCATGAAGCTGTTATAAAACAAACCTGCTTATTATTAAGAATAGAACCACATGTTTTACAGGAGTAACCCTTTCCGGTAAAAGAAAAAACTGTAAGCTTTCCAACATCTTCATCAGCTACATTTCTTTCTATATTATCTTTACGCTGTCGTAGTTCTTCTATTGCATCCATTAGAGAATCAGGTATTACTACTTCACTATCTGGGATATCTAACTCAACTTTAGTAGCTTCAGCCTCTTAAAAAACAAATTAAAATTTTTTATAATATAAAATTGCAATTCCAATGAGTAACTAGACTCATTTTTTGAGATGTTAATGTAAAAATGCTTTAATCAAAATTATTTTAATGTACCTTTCTTAACAGTAGTTGCAGGTTTCTTAGATTTTTTACTCATAGATGAATTGTTTCCTCCATCACTTTTTCTTTTATCACCAGGACGATTTGAGCCCCTTGAACCACGATTATTAAATTGACCTCTATTTTGATTGCTCTATTATCAATTCAAACAAATAAAATACAACATGATTAAAATTCTTATATTGTTTTTTATAAATTACAAAAAAATGTTGTATGTATTTAGTATGATTGTTTATTATTAATATTATTCTTAGTATATTAGCATGACAACATTATTATCTTGACACATGTGATGATTTCACACATAGATCATCCAGGTTATGTAACAAAAATCCGGAAAATTGTTTGGGTAAAATATCTAGATAAAAACCGGAATATACTTTTCTCTTAGTTTTGCTTTTAGCTGAGTTGTTTCTAATTTTCTTTTTCAAACTTATCTTAATTTTTGTATGAGCAATGAGTGAAGAAGTTAAGAAAACATTTGTTTTCTTAACTTCTTCACTCTATTACAAAAATATATAGCTAAACTCTATTACAAAAATATATAGCTAAACTTGTATGCATGGAAAATGATCGAATATTGGATAGAGAAAAACTATAAGTTGAGAAAATCTCTGGAATTCCAGAAATATCCGGAAAAAGATAATCACTGTTCACGTAAATTACAATGCTATAACAGCTTTATTACGTTATTAATGCTTCTTCACATTTCTTAATGAAAGGGCTAACAAATTTCGGTATAATCTATGAATTAAATATGTTCATAATAAAATTATTTACAAAAGTAAACTTTTGAATTTTTGTAAATTGTACAATGTACTTTTGAGTTTTTGCAAACTGTACAGTAGTGGCAAATCCAGATAAAAAAAGTTAAAAAAAATCGTTTAGCTAATTAATATTCAAAAACATATTGGCTAAATTTAAATATTTTCACCCATAAGAATATGAAAGGCTCTTAAAATATTGAGTTTTACTAAACCCATACCTGAAAAACATTTGTTTAAACTTAACCAAATTATAAAAAACTGTTTGATAAAATAAAATTCAGTTTTAAAACCCAACAAGAATAGACATAATGTAGATATTTTTGATTTTAATTAAAATTACTCAATTAAATTTAAAATACTTTGGGGAAAGAGAGATATCCTGATTACCAGAATTTTTAAAAACTTTTTAGACATCTACTTCATTGAGACCCCTCCATTAAATCTTTTAGAACGAGTTATTTTCTATAACTAGAACTAAAAACTTTTATATGTAACATGGTAAATGAATTAATTACAGTTTAAGTTAATACCACCAACTTTAATTTAAGTTAATATTCCAACCTGCCAATGACAGGAAGTAACAGAATAAAATTTTGATCAATTACTAAAACTCATTAAAAATGGTGAACTAATTGTAGAACCTATTTAAATAAATAGGCTTGATTTAGTGACAAGATCTGATCAATAAACAGCTCTGATGGCTTCAAATAAGATTTATAGAATTTTAATAACTGCAGATACAAAAATACAGTCTGTTATCAGAAAGTTACAGAACCATTGTTCATTCCTAGTCTTTGGTAATCAGGAGCAGGAGAAATAAAAATGCATTTTGTGTAACTAAGAGATTATGTTATGTGTTTGAAAAGAAATTCATTAATTGTACACACAACTTATTATATTATTTAATGTGTTATAAAAATTATTTACATAAAATAAAACATGTTAACATTTGCAGGGCTCGAATTAAGTGATCGCGAATTACGATATCTGGAAATGCTTCCGGTCTTTAAAATTTTAGCTTTTTAAAAACCATGAAACTGGTTTGATCACTAAACAATAGATATTATTTAATTAAAAATATTTACGTCAATTATGATATAAAATCTTAATTTAAAACCATATTATAACTATTATTTTTATTATTATTAAAGATTATAATTTAAACTTTAATATTTAAATTTATTTTATAAAACATAAAATAAAACTAGAAAAATAAAGCATGATAAAGTACGACATAAATATTAAAAAACAAGCACTAATTACAACAATCTAAAGGACTTTAATAGTGATCGAATATTTTAAATAAAAGAAATTGTTAATTAAGATATAAAATACTTTTATATGTTATTCAAATCTCATTCAATATTTTGTTAAAAATTTAACGCTAGTAAAACTTAAGCTGATACGAATATAAAATTAAAAGACGGAGGAGTTAATATATAAAAACTAATTTAAACTTTTTAATAGTTACTTAAAAACAAAAACAAAAAATATTTTATAAAAAATATACTTTATAATTTTTTTTCTTATTAAATAATTAAATTCTAATTTAAAACATTTAAATTTTTAAATAAATAATTCCATTAATTTTCCCCCTAAATAAAAATCTATTTTAATGTTTTATATAATGCGCAAGTAGCTTTAGCATACTTTTTAATTGGTTGTTTTTTTCTACAAAGTTTTATACAATGCGCAAATAGCTTAAAGTTTTTAATTGGTTGATTTTTTTAAATTACCGCGAAAGTTTTTCGGACCTTTAGTAATAATAATTTTTGTCTTGCAACTTTTTTTTATTTATAATACTTAAATTACATATTATTAATTGTTTAAAAAAACAATAACTAATAATATGTAAATTTTGACTGTTATTATTTTTGCAGAAGTAAATTTATTATTTTGCTTTTTTCATTAATTTTTGCAATATGATAAACTGACCGTTTCATTAAAACAGTGTTTACGGTTTTTAAAAAAACTAAGAATTAAATGACAACAGATATTTCCGGAAATTGCAATTCGTGATCACTTAATTCGAGCCTTGATTTGCAGGCAAAAAATGTTTATATATTAAATATACAGCGGTAAAGATATGAGGTTTGGCTAGATATGGTTGCAAGTTTAATTCCTCCATTAAGTTGTCTTATTTTTAAGCCTTTTCGAATCCTCTATAGAATAGTCGTTTTTTTAATTATTTTTTTTTTTAAAGTTTTATTTTGAAGTAGTTTTATATTTTTCAACTATTGTTGTTTATCCTATTTTTACTTAAAGTTTGATAGAATATGCATCGATACATACATAAATCGACAGTTAAATTCATAGCAGGGTGGCCACTCAAATTTGAAAATAAAATTCCATGACTCTTTATATACTTTTATGATAAATCACTCGAGTAAAATATTCAGTACTTACACACACTAAGCATTTGCAACATGGTCATTAAAAAACATGCAAACCAAAAACTAATTGGTAGAAAGTTCTTAAATCATTTTTAAAAAGAAAACACTTTTTCTTTTACTTCTCTGATAACTTACACTGAAAAAATATCTTTTTCAAAAAGGACTTAGACTAGACATACTAGTACTTTTCTTTGCATTTTTTTTTTAAAGTTGATTAAGGTGCCCCAAGAAGTCCTTATGGTCTTATCACAGAGCACCGCGGAAGAGCATTCAATAGGAAGTTCACGCCTTCTTTCCAACCGATGTCGCAAAACTTGCCCAGAGGCAGGGTTTGAACCACGGATCTTACGTTCTGAGGCAAGTGCACTACCACTGCGCCACGGCTGCTTTAAAATTTTAATTCTGCATTCTAAAAATATCACAATTAGAAAAAAATAAAGATAATTTTAAAAAGCTCCATGAATTCTCCATGACTTTCAATGAAAATTTAGGAATTCCATGACTTTTTCCATGACCAAATAAAATTTCATGACATTTTCCATGACCAATGACCACCCTGCATAGTCACAGTGAATAGTACATACACTGACTTAATTAGGGAAAGGTGCAGTGGAATATATATATATATATATATATATATATATATATATATATATATATATATATATATATATATATATAAATAAATATAAAAGTATTTTAATACTAATTAAAATTTTATACTTTATAAGTTTATAAATTAATAAAAAGAAATTATTAAATTAAACTAGATTTTTAAGTCAAAATAATTAATAAATATACGCATACAAATAAAGAAAAATTAGTTGAACCAGCGTTTCAATAATACCTAACCTAACTAAATATAGTGTAGATTAACTGAGCCGTTAATTTTGAAAGTGGCATAAGTCAATTTGTTTTAAAATGGAGATTTTTAAAGGTTTGTATTTAAAAATGTTTGTTAAATTGTTAACTAACACTTCTTTCTAAAACATTTTAATAACTTTTTAAACAATTGGTTTAAATTATTTCACAAATATAGAGATACCGTTACACTGTAATTGTTATCAATAATTTGATTTTTTTAAAAAGGTGATACACCCATTTCAAAATAAGCGGCTCAATTGATGAATGATACTTTCTTAACTTGTCTGGATAACAAAAAATATTTCAAACTATTTCCAGAAATCTATTTAGATGACTGAAAAAATAAAAAACATCTGTATTAAAGACTTCAGGTTAAAAATAAGACTTAGTATTCTGCATTCTCTTTTTTAACAATATAGTAAGGTTATCAACATATTTAGAGCTGCTGAACACCAAAAAACAACAAAACCAAAAAAAAAAAAAAAAAAAAAAAAAAAATTACTGCAGCATCAGGAAAATAAAAAAAATAACTAAAACATTCATTTAAATTGTTATTTAAAAATAGTTTAACAAGATAAGAGCATTTTTATTAGGACTTTCTAGTATCATATAATGCAAACAAAAATTTTGTATATAATATTTACCTGGTTACCAAATCTTCCTAAATTTCTCTGATTCATTAATCCATGTTGTGACTGTGTTGTCATAAAAGCGCTTAATAAACTTTGTTGTTGTTTTAAAGTTTCTAACATTTGACCATTTAAAAAGCCACCTTGACCACCTACATGTTTTAAAAATTATAAAACTCTTTTAATATAAATTTAAGCTTAAAATTAAAAAGCGGTTTAATCCTAGGATGACAAAGTAACATTTCAAAACCGATTTTTGTGTTTCAATAAAATTTTTGGAGCGATAAATCACAGTTAGACAACATATTTACTTATTTTGCAGATAATTTGTTTTAACTTGATGACTAATTTATACTTGCTTGTTTTTAATAAGTGTTTTACATGAACAAGAACTTTTATTCTACCTTCATATTTTTGTATATTAAGAACTTTTTTAAATCAAAAAATTCAATAACTATTTAATAAAAAAATATTTATGCTTTCGTAACAAAATCTTAACAAAGCCTGCTTTGAACTCAAGATCGATTAATAGAAAAATCAACATTTAATGAAAACTTTTTTAAAATTGAAATCATCCTCCACAATGTAATATAAAGTTGTAAAAAAGGTATTACTGTATTGTTTACAATAGAATACACATAGTTTGAACTTTAGAATAATTTTATAGGTTGACTATAAAATTAACCCCAATACTTTTTGGAACATAACTTATATTACTTGAATAAAAAATTTAATAATAAAAAAAAGCTATACATTTAAGTTTCAAACATGCTATATATATCACCATTATTTTTGTAGTATCACTCAAATAAAACCTTTTTTTATCCAAGAATATTTGTTTTGAACATTATAAAAGAGTTTTTAAACCCAAACAAAGTACTAAGAGTCATAAATGGGACAAAAAGGTAAAATTAAGGGTTTTTAAATGCATGTTACATAAAAAAAACATTTATTCAAAAGTATTGGTCCTATAAAAACAGAAAGAAAAAAAAAAAGCCTTTATAAAATTAGAAAAAAAACAAGGTCATTAATGGGGCTAAGGGTAAAATAGAGAGGGCCTCAGCTGATTTAAGCATTTCAGATGTTTATTTTAAAAAAAAAAAAAAATTAATTTAAACAAAAATATTTACATTAATATTTATATAACAGACATCAAATTTTATACTTAAATAATTTATTAATTAATAATATTTATATAATTAGACATCAAATAATTCAACTTGTTTAAGAGCATCAGTAAAAGTTGATGCTAAATTAAAATTTTGCTTCTATTAGAAGTAATTAAAAATTTACTCTTGAGTATACATTTTTATGTTTAAATCTATTTTAGTTGGATTTAAATTTAAAGTCCTCGCACTGTTTAGCAATCTGACTGTAACCTGTTCCAGAAACTTGGTTGATATGAATAAGTTTTTTAATTTAGCAAATGCTAACTTATACGCAAGAGTTCGACAAAAACAAGAATCTTTTACTCTATGATCTTTTATATACTGAATTGTAGGTTTAAGTTAAGAAAACTGAGATGTCAAGGTGCATTAGTAGTCTTATTCTTATCTACCCAAGACAGCTAAATAATATGAAGACTTCATTCTAAATTTAAACTTACATAGAATAAATTAAAAGGTGTAAAAGGGTAAACTCAACATCAAGAGTGACTATAAAGTTATATCTAATTAATTTTTGTTTTGTTTTATACACTAACACACTCAGTAAATAATTAAAAATATTTTTATTCTAGTCCCACAATTTTACCCTTTACTTTGTTAGTGACTGTTAACATTTTTTTGGATTTTATAAATGGTTTCTTCTAATTATAGAGAACAAATACTCTTGAATAATAATAATTAAAAAAGAATTGTTATAAGTATCTAAAATGCTTAAATAGACTAAGAAGTGACTCTCATCTTTACGCTTGCCCCAATAATGACTCTTAGCATTTTATTCAGATTTTTTTATTGTTATAATGCTGACTCTTCCATTGTTATAATGCAAAACTCTAGAATATTACATTTGAGGGACAAAATATAAAACCTGGTGGTCTCTTTGACTTATATACATAAGGCCTTCCCAAAAGATAAGTGCAGTTTTTTGGTTAGCATGTCCATGCATGAGTATTTTATTTTAGACACAAAGTCATGGCTGTTTGCAAGTTTAATTTATATTAAGCTTTGCGGAAAAAGCTAAGTTTCAAAAACAAAGAAAGTAAAACTAACAAAATAGAAAATTTAAATTAAAAAAAAACTGTTTTGATTTTTGTTTCTTTAGGATGGCTGTTATTTTCAGCAACAAAATTAGATACGACAATATATATATATATATATATATATATATAAAGTGTTAGGTTGACATAAAAAAGAATGATTTTCCTATATTTTGTTTTTTGTTTTTCCCAAGAGGAAAGCGAGAATATAAATTGCTAGATCAGGCTTATACTTTCATGTATAACTTTTAAAATTATAATTATATTTATTTGTTTATTAGTAAACTTACATTTAGCTTATTTGGATGTGTTTACTTCTTACACGAAATCTCAGTAGTTCAAATCTTACCAATTCCCAAAAATATTTTTGTTTTCCTACATGCCTACTCCCTTTTTGGTCTACCAGATCATTGGCCAAATATGTGTAAACGATTATTAATAATAATTATTAACTATTGCATAACAATTATTAATAATTGCTGTTGTATACAATATAATATTTCATGCATTTGCTAAGTGTACGTAAATAAGGATTAATCAAAGCCCGTTTTCCACAAGACGAAAAAAATTGCACCAAGCGAGTTTTTTTGAAACATGCATTTTGAAACGCCGTTTTGATTTCCACATATTCTTTTCGCTACTATTTTTGTTATTAAAAAAAAAAAAAAAAAATTAAAAAAAAAAATAAAAATAAAAAACCAGCTATAAGTTTACGATTTAACTCTAAAAGATGATAAACCTTTTTGTGAAGTAAAACTTTCAGAATTGACAGCATTAGTAAATTCATCTTTATTTGATTAGTTTACTAATGCTTACCACTTTTCAGGGTGAGTTTTAAGTAAATAAAAACACCAAGTTGAGCATTTAATTGTTGTTGTTATTTTAAGTTTTTGCTTTTTGCTTTTTTTCTCGGTGACTTTACGCGATATACTATTTAAATGATTAGTTTTTGCTCATAACGATTGACTTTTTTTCATGCAGCAAATTAAATGATCAGTAACAGAAATGTTTATCTGATTATCTACGAAAAAATCTTGTCTTGTGCAAAACAGCCTTAATAATAAATATGTAATAACTTAATGATTGTAAACGGTTATCTATTAATACAGAACTTGTGAATTTTTCTTCAATTAGTTTGTTTAATTTATTTACTTATTAAAAAAAATGTACTAACTGGAGGAAATCAAAATAAAAGAGAACTAAAAATAAAATAGAAGTTGTATTGACATTTCTTTTTCTTAAACCTTTAAAAATAATATTATATTATCTATTTAATAAGTTATTATATATCAAGTTATTATTAAATACTTAATAGGATATTATTATGTTTATAATATTAAGTATTTAATATTAAAAATATCATACTATTACTATAATAATAAATCAAACTATAATAAACAAAATAATTCTATATATTTTATTAGATTATATATATTTTAGCAAACATTTCTTTACTTAAACGATGATAAAAAATTTAATAAAAAAGGCACACTATTAAATAAAGTAATGCTTTAGCATGGTTAGTTTTAAAGTAACAACAATTGCATCAATTTTAAGTAAAATATAGCAGGCTTTTGTAACGCATGGAAAAAACATGCTAAACAAAATTTTTTCCTTTAGCGTAACTGTTATTTAACTTTAAAGTAACGCTCTGCTATTAAGTAATAAAAAGTAAAGGAAGTAATCTTGTTTTAGCTTGGTTTAATTTAAAGGCATTTCAAATTTTAGTAACTAATTGTTTTTATATTATAAATAACTATCAATTGCAATTATTTGGAAAAAATGCCAACATTTGCTTAAGTAAAAGTAAAGAAACATAACACTTGTTTTTCTGTCTTTTTTTAAAAATGTTTGCAAATTCATGGATTTGTTGTGCCCTGTATAGGCATGCATTACATAGATGTATTCATATAGATTATACATACTAGTTACATTAAAATTATGAAAATATTTAACAAACAGATAGCAATTTATTTTTTCTCTTTCCTCTTTAAAAAACAAACAAATAAAATATAGGAAAATCATTCTTTTTAATATTGACTTGAAACTTTTTTTTTTTGCTTAGCTTTATCCAATTTCTTAGCAACCAAACTAAAGAAACAAAAATAAAAACAGTATAAAACTTATTTATATTAATTTTTATTTTATTTGAATAATTTAAATTTATTTTAATTTCCTATTATGTTAGTTTTTGCTTTCTTTGTTTTATCTGCAATGCCTAATATAAATAAAACTTACCAGCAGCAGTGACAAAGTTGTCTGAAATAAAATAATCATTTGTGGACATACAAGACAAAAATGCATACATCTCCTGGGAAAACTTGTACATATACATATACACACATAAACATGTCTATATGTATATAGACATACATGTATATACAAGGCTTTCACAAGAAGGTGTGCGAAAACATGTCTTTATATAACCACGCAAAAAATGTTTTAAGGATTTGGCCACAGCTTTAAAGATATTTTCAAAATTTAAAAACGCGCTACAAAAACATACTCAAACTTATCTAAAAAAAAAATAGTAAAAAGAAAAAAAATCTTAACAAATGAGAAAATAATTAAAAAAAAAAATACTTAGTTAAAGCAAAAACACAAAAAAATAATATATATATAACCCAACTAAAAAAAAACTCATCAAACTAAAATGCCTATTTAATTTACGCAATAAAAAACCATTTTAATCTTTGTTTTAACATTTGTATTTTTTTATTTTTATTTAATGTTTTAAAAGATAAACATTTCTTATAAAAAATACATAATTATATAAATAAAAAACAAACAAACAGTTTATTAATTCTTATTTTAAAAATTAATTAAAAGTGTTTTGTTACTTTATTGAAAAGCGTTTCGATAATATAAAAGCATAGAAGATCAAAAGTTTCTTAATTGTATTGGCTATCTAGAACTTTTTTTTTTTCAACCAAATTTCGTTTATCTTTTTAAATAATTAACTTTAATTATTCTTATATTAAAAATTGTTAAAGAGACTTTCGCAGTTGAGAATGTTATCATTTATAAAACATAACAATTTTTTATTTTTTTAATGTTTATTATAGAAATGCACACTTAAACAATTTATATATTATAAATTAAAAAAATATATACAACTGTCAATTATAATTAAAAAAAAAAAAAAATCATCAGCAAATTATTACTTTATTTAAAAGTATTTCGCTAATATGAAACATTTGTCAAGAAGTTTTAACGTAATTTAACTTTTTCAGAATATTTTTCATTTAGTGCGTTTTTTAAATGTTTTTTGAATTAACTGCGGTCAAATCATCTTGAAAAATGAAATTGCGTGGTCATATAAAGACGTGCTTTCGCACGCCTTCCTGTGAAAGCTTGATACATGTAAATGAATGCAGCATTAGGTACACATTGACAACATCACACTGAAATAATTAGTGGAAACTAGAGTACAAACATTGGCTAGATAGAACATGCAAGGAATCGCCATTACATCAACAGGGGTTAATGTTGGGAAACCAATAAATTTAGTTATTCTTTATTTTTTCTTTTTCAAAAAATTTAAAATGATCATTTAAAAAATAAAGTGCGCAAAATATCAGGAAATTGCGTCCTAATATAATAGTATATGTTGTATATATATAATCTAGTATATATAAATATTTGCTATTTTTGCCACTTTTTTGTAAGAAAAAAGAACTGAAGCTCTCACAGTTACTTATTTCAGTATGACATCATATTGCTTAGCTAAATACACAATATATATAAAATATATGTATACAGGTCTTGTTTAAAAGCGTATAGAGCGATTTTACGCATGCCTTTAGCAATTTTACAGAAGCAGTAAGCAATTTTGGTTAAGCAACTTTTTATCATTTTTTGACTTTTAAATTAATATATAAATAATAAGATAAAAAAAGTAATCAATTGAAAAAAAATAATCACATTAACTTTTAAATGACGTTTATGTAAAATTAATTTTGACAAAAGTTTGATTTTACTATTACTAAGCTATAAGTTATTTACTAATAAAAAACTCAAATAAAATGAAAAACTTATTTTTATTTAATTGTAAAGATTGATTTTTTCACTTGAAAAACGTTAATATTTTAGGCTTGAAGCAAAGATCATAATAATAAAATTTAATTCTGATAAAAAATAATCAACTTAAAACTAATTTAATAAAAATACATAATTTAATTTCGATTTAAAAAATATATATAAGTTTTATTAATGCTTGGGTTTAACTTAGCTATCAAATTTATTTAAAAATATAACTAAATATTGTTAAATATTTAAATTTTATTTGTTCTTCGAAAAGAAAAAAAAAAGCTCATTTTTATTGTAATCTTTTTTCTGTTTTCCTTCTTAAACATTTTTTTTTATATTCAAAATTAAATTTTAAATAAACGGCTGCATCAAAAGTTTGCACAAGTTAAACTTTTTTTTTAAAACAATGCAAGTTAAATCGCGGCAATTATTTTTTAATAAACGATATATACAGAGATATATTTAAGCAAATGTTGAACGTTTAGAAAAAAAAAGAAATTTGTTAATATAAAACATTTTTTAAAATGCAATGTTAAATTTAATTACAACCCTCGGAATTAGGAAAATTGAGGTCGCATAACCATAAAACAAGGTCGGCAAAACTGAATTTTATTTGCTGACCACAAACACGTTTAGGTTGGCATTGCAGAATGCCGACCCTAATTCCGAGGGTTGTAATTAATATTTAAAAAAAATAAAAGAAAATAAACATTCTGTCATAGTAATAATAATAATAATAATAATAATAAAAAATAACATTTAACTCGTTTTACGGTAATTAACATTATTGCAGTTATTTAAAAAAGTTAGTAATTTAAAAATGTAAATTTAAAGAGAACTTTATGATTATAAATTCACATTAGGCTATCGCATTAAGCATTTTTTTAAATTTAAAACAAGGCCTGAATATATAATATATATTATATATATTGCTTTAGTTTGTTATAAATTTTATGTTTTTTTAAAACAATTTTTTTTAACTGATTCACATTTGCATAAAAACAGAGTTTAATGCTTTAGAAAAGATAATTCAAAGCTTGAAAGTTTTTCCAGAAATTATGATTACCTTATTTGCCAATTAAATGTAATTTTATAATACAATAATTGTGCATATATTAATTACTACAAAAAGATAAGCATGAGGGTACATGCATCAGATCATTACATAAAGATAGATGTAAACTAATGTACATATAATAAGCAAGTTTTGGCTTTTTTAAACTTTTTTTTTTCAAATACAGGAAAAAGTTTTTTTAAGCAAAAAGTGCTTAAAAAAACTTTTTCCTGTATTTGCTGATGTTTGTTTGAAAATAACTGTAATTTATCAGTTTATTACAACATGTTAAAAAATACAAAACATAGTTTTGAAGTGTTACTTTTTACCCAAATTATCTGGATTTAACTGCTCCTCTTGAAAATATAAATAAAGATTAATATAAAATATAGAGTAACTCATCTATGCATTTAAAGTGTATATTACTAAAAGATTACAGTTGACAAAGATTAAAGTGATAAACTGATTGAAAAGATTAAAGCAATGGGATATAAAGAAAATTAATGGCTCAAAAAATGAAAAATGTTTATATGTCCACATGAAAAGATATTGATAAATTGATGAGTTAATAAGAATAGAACATTTTTCTTTTCATACCACGGTCCCGACCTGTACTGTTCTGACCTCCTTGACCAAAGAATCCACGGTCGCGATTTGCTCCTCCCTAACAGAAACCGCAAGAAGAATATTATAAGTAATAATAAAAAAGCCTTTTCCATAAGCAGGAATAATAAGGCATATGCAGAGATCTCTGCAGTTCAACCAATGTTGGTGACTAAATTGTAGTAGCAAGCAATGCTTCTTTTATTAGCCACATCTTGATTTAAAATAAAAAAATCTCACAAAAAATAATATTGTATAATGGTTAAGTACATAAAAGTATTTAGCAAGTACAAACTAATTCAACATTATTAGATGAATGTCAATAAATATATAAATCTGCCTTATATTCCATTGAAACAATTATATTTATTAAACAATCATAATGACTTCCAGAAATAGTCAGAATTCATGTTATCTTGTAACAGCAATAAAAAATTGCTTAAAAATTGTTTAAGTATATTATTTATCATTTATAAACTCGACATTAATAGACGAATATTTTATTTACAATATGTTTCCTAGTTTTCATTAAATCAACAATATATTGTTTACAAATTCATAAAGATTTTTTACTTGCTACAATGTACTTAACCTACTACTTAAAAATTATTTATTCAAATGATTTCAATATACCAGCAAAATCATAGAATAATTGATTAAAAAGCAGATCATGTGCAAACATCACCTAATGAAGTTAAAAGCTTAAAATCTTTGAATAAATTTAAACTTGCTTAAATGCGAATCTATCAACTTAAAGTTGTTTTTCTGTAAACGTAACAAAATTACTAACAGTTCAAGCTTGAATAGTAAACTAAGAAATTAACTGTTTTATGTTTTATACTCTGAAAGGAATATGCTAAAAAACTAAGAGAAAAATGAATGCAATATTAAATCATGCAACATTGTTGCAATCACTGTAACCTTGCCATGCATGATATTATAGAGTGGAAGAGTAAAGAAAGCAAGTTTAACTATTATTTAAAACACTGAATATTAAAAAATTAATTTTTTAAATAAATTGAAAAAATTAAAGCACTTCATTTGGTTTAAAGATAAACTATGCAGTTAATTTTTTACTATATTAAAAATAATCAATTTTGAAGATTTAGAAATGCAGAAAGATTATTCAGTAAAATTGACTATTGAAATAAAAATCATTTAAGAAAAAATCAAATATACTTTAGACTAACTGTGCTAACTCTACAAGAAAACTTTTATTCAATTAAAATCTATTTATAAAAATTCAAAAAAAATATATAGAAGTCAAGCTAGTTCAAATTTTTATTAAATAATAATTATAGGATAAATTCAAACTGTTACTTTTTTGCTTCATAAGAAAACATTTAAATAATAGAATTGAAAATATAATTTTTAATTAATGCTATTACATTATTTTTAAATTTTTTATTACTTTTCTAATTTATTTTTTGTAATTATTTTAAATGTTTGTTCCCTGAAGTTGATGTTAGAAAACTAGTCAGTCTTAAGAAACTACTCAATTCCTTATGGAATTGCCATAAACTAATATGAAAATAATAATAACAATTCAATATTTTTTTCTTCAGTGTTTAACTAGGTCATATTTTAAAAAACCTAAAAAATTTTCCTCTTAAAATATCTAGGAAAAATAAAAATACTTTAAAGAAATATCTGGACGCATTGTGCGTAATTAACAATATCTAATTTGTTTGAAAAGAAATTCATTTTTATTTGCAGACAAATAATGTACACATATATACATAATAGAAACATTACTTATACGCAAAAAATGTTCAAATACTTTATTCATTCATTTTTAATGGATAAAAAAGTATTTGAACTTTTTTAATTTTATCATCTTTTTGAAAAACTTTTATTTCAAAATTTTTTTATGATTTTTAACTATTGTTATTTATAGTTATGTTTGTATATTTTATGGTGAAACTTTTGGGTTAAACTTTTTTTGCTGACTTCTAACAGTTTAATATTGGAAATTTATTGCAGTTAACATTTTTTCTAATTCTTCTGTTCACAGAATGTAAAGAACAGAAGCATTGATTTAAACAGGAATAAACACAGTGAAGTGTGCATACACCAACTGAGGGTTTAGGTTTTACACTTAATTAAAAAATTATTTTAACATTTGATTAAATATGGTTTATAAATTATTTCAATTTATTCAAAAAATTAAATAATATTGTTAAATTAAATTACAATAGTCTTTTTGGGTAAAACAGTTATAATAATTATTAATAAATATGTGCACAAATAAAAAACTATTTGTACACACATACAAATAATGCTTAAAGTATTTTAGCACTATAGGTAATTTTTTAAATGAAATAAATGAGTTAAGTGAAAAAAGTATATCACATAATGGTTGCACATTTTAACAGTTTTCAGTAACTTAATAATAGTACAGTCCTGCAATACTTATCAGTATTATTCTGAAAGCATCAAAACTCTTTAAAGTGCTGTTGAAAACAGTTTTATGTTACTTAAGAATAACCTTTATCTATTAAAAATAAGCACTTAAAATATTATTACATAAACAAAAAACAAAGTAATTTTAATACAGAAAAATCAACACACACACACACACAAATACATAAACACAAACACACAAAAGATACTATTAAAAATTTTATTTTTTAAACTAAATAAAAACCGGAAAAACTAAAATTTATCTAATTGAGTAAGTTTACAGAGAAAGTGAAACATTTTTACCCACTGCCCTCCAAAGGCTTGATCTCTGCCACCTTTATTTTGCGATCCACCTCTAGCTACATTTCGAAAAGAATTTCCAGACAATCGTCTATCAGAGTAGTAACTATCATACAAACGATCATCTCGGTGGTTTGAAGGCGGAATACGAGCAAAACCTCTATCCATTTCTTTCTGAAATCGTTGTTCGTTTGAGCGAAAGAAGCACTCTTCAAAAGGAGTTTTAATCACGTGATTATGGGGTCCGCGTTTATTCGGCCCAAAATTTGTTTGACGTTATGTTAATCATTCTTAAAGAGCCTGGTAAATAAAGAGGTATGGAATCCAACAATGTGTATTTATTTAGTAACGTGACCGTAGTCCCGGTTTATACTAAAAGCGTAAGATGTAGACGCAAAATATTTATTTTAAATAAGTTTCAGTTGCACTTTCTACGTAATAGCTTACTATAAAACAATGTTAATTAGTCGTTATTTGCCTTATTAGTAACATGAGTAGTTAATAACATTTTTTTTACAGAGAATTACTATTTTCCATTGCAAATAAAACCGTAAAATAGAAACACATAAAGATGCTGTTCTTTTAAAAATTGCTTGTTATTCTTTAGCTTGAGTGACGGTAAAGATGCTACCCATTAAACAACCGTTCCTTGCAAAAAGACGAATTTAATTGCTTTAGCGTAGATAGAAGCAGGAACTGTAGCGATTTTAAAGCGGAGGGGGATTTTAAAGTGGAGTTACAAGGCACCCCGTCCTTTAAAATCTTTCGGGACGCCCCTGCGCACACATGAACACATACATACATATATAAATATATACACATACACACATAGATACACACGTATACATAAACACATTTGCATATACACTCATACACTAACACATTTATATACATATATATATATATATATATATATATATATATATATATATATATATATATATATATATATATATATATATACACACACACATACATATATATATATATATATACATACATATATGCATTCACATAAACATAGACACACATACATATATACATATAAAAGCATACATTTATACATATGCACACAAACAAACATATACATACACACATACATATACCACCCCTCAAAGCCCCTTCCATCTTTAATACTTTCCTGATTAGAAGCACTCTGTTCCAATATCGTGCTCAAAATAAACAAAATAAATAAATAAATGAATATACTCCAAACAATTTGAGGAGAAGGTCAGAGAACATGATAAATTCTTTGCATTAGATAACCGTATGATAACCTTTTGATGTTGGTAGTTGCAACGCCATCCATATATTGAGAATCTTAAATCAATAACATCTAATTTTTATTTCAAAATAAGATTAAAGAGTGTTTTGATTATTGAAGTGCAAGTTCATTCATTAAATTAAGAAGACACATTTAATTGAGAGGATAATTACTATTGACAATAACAAAAATTCAATTTTTATAAGTATAACTATAAAAATGATGTTCGTTGTACGAAAGCTTAAGAAACCATCATTACTAAGTGTTTATGCAAAGCAAAATTTAAGAAATGTGTATTAAATGAAGTTGATGACTAATTCTTTGCGTTGAAAAATTAGTTAATCAGTTACGATTACACAATGAAATTTGTGTTATTTATGAATTTAATTAATCAATAGAATCTATCCATATGCTCTGAAAAATTTGATTATAATTTAGATAGTTAAATTACACGGAACGGGCGTGTTCCGCAAAACCATTCACAGCTCGTACGAAATTGCTAGCTCGTACGAAAGTGCTAGCTGGTACAAAATTGCGCGAATGATGATGCGCTGTAGTTATTATGGTAGCTGATCGAGTTTTGTTTTGAAGCGGTTGACACTATTAGCACTGATAAATTCGTTTGGCAGTGCGTTCCATGGGTGAGCGAAGTGGTTATTAAAGAAATTATAGTAAATGAGGCAGTTACTATCCATTTCACGATGGGACATGTTAGAAACAAATAATTTTGAGCATTACTTTATTCTGTCTATTCTACTTTTTATATAACATAACAATACACAACATTTGTTTGTGTTTGCTTAAAATAAGATATTCTAAACGCATTTATAACTTTGTTCAACAAGGTCGCTTGATATTTAAATTGAGTCAAAATTACGTTGATGTCTCGGGGGATAACTTTTTTGCTTTTTCTTATTTTTATCTTCCTTTTTTCTTTTACATTCTGATAAACTTACAACTAGTTTATTTCTTGTTGGCGTGTCAGTCAATACCAGAGACCTAGAACATTTTCTGTTTACACTTAATCTCTTTGTCGCCCTCTCACTCGCTTTTGGAAATGGCCTTATATCAGAAGTGCTTATTTGCTGTTTCTTGTCATTAATAACTTCAGATACATTAGATAGTGGTGTCGGGATTGTTTGTGTTTGCAAATCAGATAATTTACTTAATTTGTAAACCTTAGTTGGTCTGTCTGATCGTATACATTAGCTATACTGACAGAAATCGTTTTTTGGGCCAATTGAGAAATACTGCTGGACAAACTGGCTGATAAGGTATATTTGCTGGAATTGGCCAATCAGATAAATAAGAACATAAAAAGTCTATATCACTGAAAACATATGGATCGTACGGAAAAATGCCAGCTTCTTTAAAACCATTTTGAATGTTTTAGGAAGTAAAGACTCTCGCATAAGCTATTCCTAAATTTTGAGAAATTTCACATATCTTCATAGGAGTATTTGGATGTGGTACAAATACTGATCTGTCAAATGGTAGAAGCTTGTGGCTACAAAGAGGTGACAATGTCAAGAGCACAACACTACTTTTCTTCGCTTTATTTATCAATTCAATCGATATATGACTTTTGTGTTCATTATTAAAAGTAATGGATTATGCTGGCTAGGATGTCCATACTGCACAAAATGAATTAACCATTTCAAAAATATTTCTGTATTTATCCATTCACTAAGATTAGCATTAACTTTGGTACCTGTTGGTGCACCTTTAAGCATGTGGCTACAAAAGTTTGCACGGAGAGGTATCAAAAACGGTGGAATAGAATTTCCAAGGGCATTTATAAAACCTGCCATAGTAACTAGGGTTCCCCTTTCAGCAGAAGTTACCTGTCCTACTTGATTTACTCCTTTACCTGTAACCACCTTCACTGGCTTATGAACAGTTGTAAAAGCTGTTTCATCAATATTGTAAATACATCAGCAGAAAACTTATAGCGCTTCTGTACACTGTTAAGGTTTTTGAAGAAAGTATCTACATCAGTTCGATTGAATCTAGTTGTTTTACTAAGCCTGGTAGCTTCTGGCATACGAATAGATAATTTTGTACAGTTTAAAAATAAATAAAACCATTCAGCTCCAGCTGTTTACCTCTTTTTCCAGTTTTTTAGTATTTTAATGTCATTTTTAATTGCATATTGATATGCAAGTTGCTTTCTTTCTCTAGCATTAAGTCCATAATGCATATCAGATGCTTGACAAAGATATGTTGAAAGTTCATCTTCTTGCGCCTAATTAAAAATATATTTATGTTGTTCATCAAAGTATAAGTCATTGTAAGAAGTTTCTTTTAATCTTAAAATTTTCAGCTGTAAACTTGATTTCAAAATTTTATATTCCAGTGCAGCTGCTTGTAGTGATAAACTGCCAGATTCAACAGCCATCACAGCAGCTTTTATTATATGAGCATCAGGCTTTAACCGATTTGTGACTTGTTTGTACTTTCTTGGCATTTGAAAAATATTACACACATTACTCCCTCTATTATTCAAAAATTATGCTTTTTTAAAATTGCATTAACCAAAATCCATATTATTAATGAAAATAAATTAGTATCACAACGTTAAAAACTTATAATGAGATTAAATTTAATAATGTTAATAGTGAAGACCTGTATTTAAACTGAAAATTTTAAATACAGTGCTATAAAATATTTTTTATAAAACAATACTTACTGTGAAAGATGTCTTTAACAATCAGGATAAAGTTTCAAACAAATCTTACATGACTATTTTTTTTTCTAAGATAAAAACTTATTAACATAAAGTAAATATGGAAATCTTATCATAAACATAAACGTAATTTTCTGCTTGTTTTCCTACTTGTTTTTTTTACAAAAATAATTGATTGAAAAAATTAAAATATAACAAATATAACAAAATTAAAATATAAAAAAAAAATAACAAAACAACTGATAAAATTAAACAGTGTCCCATTTCACCTCAATTCTCCTGTCCCAAATCACCCCATCACTAGTAAGTGTAAGAAAAACTTTATTTTATATAGTTCTCTTAACCATATGCTAATTATATTTCTTCAGTAATTAAATAAGAAAATAATGATTAATTAAAAACTATAAACATAAAAATATATGGAAACAACACATAAATATTTAATACTAATAATGTCTTCAAAATATAGGAAACTTGTTAGGTTTTAACATATTCGAAAATAATTTGAAAAATAAAATACTATTGAAACTCAAAAAACACAACAATTTGAAGTACTTATTGTAATCTTATCATATATATAAAAAAAAACTGATTTAATAATTTTTTTGCTGAGACATTGCCATGTCCCACCTCACCCCATATCCCATCTCACCCCGTTCTCCCCTAAACGTCTATTTAGTAAAGAGCTGAGGCCGAATTTGATGCATCTTGTCTTGCAATCGAAGCGCTTTATTTCTTGCGGTACTTTGGTTGCCCGATGTTGGATGCGTTCAATGACATATAAAGAAACCATTTTTTAACATATGCATTGAACCTTATATTTTGCTGATAACAGAAACAATACAAAAACAAAAATTACAAAACCTTACAAATGATGCAAATGAGCGGCCGTGGCGCATTGGTTAGAGCGCTTGCTTTAGAAGCAAGAGATCTAGGGCTCTGGGCATATTAAACGTCATCGGTAAGGAGGCGTAACTTTCTAGTTAAATGCACTTTCTCGGTCTGTGACAAGACCGTTAGGTTTTCTTGGAGTACCTAAAACAAAACAAAAAAAAAATCTCAAGCCAAAACGACACTTGGTACACTCAAATAATAAAATACTCTTATCTAATAATAAAGCAACCATGCCAACATCACTATAGAAAATCCCAACATAATCACCAAAACTTGTCAAAAGTTTTCATTAAGCATAAACCTTAAATCTTTGTTAACCTCGCACAATAGAACATAAGTATAGTAACATAGTTAACCGGTGTATACCTAATAAAATACAAGTATAAACAAAAACCGGCAATACGAAAATGAAAATA